ATCCACCGTGGGACACCCTGTATAGTCCGAGGTTCTTCACTTCATCGGCCCATTCAATTGCAACACCGTTAAGGGTAATATGGTGAGAAGATAAATCAATATCGGTCCGCGAAAACAGTATAGCTTGTGTTTTGTTGGGATTTATAAGAAGAGAATTATCAGAAGTCCATTCTGATATATTTTGTAGATCTACATTGATCATTTCAATAGTGTCAGAAAGATCAGCCGGGGATGTTGGAAGATAAATTTGAAGGTCATCTGCATACATGTGATATTTACAGTGAGATATTCGCTCTACAAGATCTGATGCGAAGATTGTGAAGAGAAGTGGACCGAGAATAGATCCCTGTGGTACTCCCCTAGTCACAACTCTCCATTCAGACAGAATCACTCCTTCAACCCCAGCCAGTCTAACTGCCTGCTGTCTCTCACAAAGGTAACTTCTGAGCCAGTCCTTTCCTATTCATTTTTGTTGCTAAATCAACACAGTACCAATATTGGGGTAACGTTAGTTTTAACTATTTGGAAAAAATATTTAAAAATAATCTTGTACCAATATTGTTTCCATAGATTAATTAACTTTTCAGTAATTTGAATATTGGCCCAAGACTTCTCACTACAATATTGATTTATGAAATATTGGCCAAATATTACATTTTATACACTGGCCAGCAAAATTAACACACCACTACTATTTTTGAAAAATATTTTTTATTTCATAATTTTGATCAAATATTTTTATGTCTTGATTAAATATATTCTTATTCTGACCTAATAAGGGTATTAACAAAAGATAAAATTCCAAAAGAAGGTGAGAAAAAAAAAAACAAGAAATTTCAAAAAATAACTATTTTAGGCGACTGTCACAAAAAGATCCCTAAAGTATATCTTTTTTGGCCACATTTACTTTACGGCCGCATTTACTTCACGGCCGCATTTGCTTAATTACTTTACGGCCGCTTTTACTTCACGGCCGCTTTTACTTTACGGCCGCTTTTACTTTACGGCCGCTATATACTTTGGTGAAAATATATAAACAGACATTCGAAAATGCGGTCCGTAACTATCAACACAACCAATAAATAGTTAGCAACCACAATGGAACCAAATTTTTGATTTTAGCCCTATTCTATTACTTTTTTAAAAAAGCACAATATAGGATACCATGCGAAAAAGTCGGCAATTTTCTATAATCACACTTCCTTTATTGTAGTTTTTGTTACTAATAATTATGTATCTGCCTATCTTTGCTGGATTATTTATCTAATCAATAAAAAGTTAGAGCTACTGTTGAATTTTCGCCTTTTTTCAAGAACAAACACTCGCCTAAAAAATTTTGTGTGCACCTCGGCCGAATGATCTTTTTTGGCCTCACAAAAAAGATCAAATTTACGGCCTTGGTACACAAATAACTATATTTACATTGGTGTAGATTAGGCCGGTTATGTTTTATGCGGTTTTCACAGCTTTTTTGCAAATTTTTGTGATATTTTGTTTTAAAAAAATTAAAGTAAAGTGTTTATGTTCCAGTCTATGTGGTCTTTTATCCAGAAGTTTGCTAGGTTTTTCTATAAAGGGTTTTTCCAACAAAAATCAAAACCAAGTGTCACAAGAACAAATATATAAGTAAGGTTCGTTTCACCAGGGTTCATACTTGACCTTGAAACTTGAAAAAAAAGGATTGTCGTAAATTAATTCAATGACACATTCAATTTTTTTGACAAATTAAAATGAATGACTTTTGGTTTAAGAACCGACGAACGTTTTTGACGTCATTGATTTGTTTCAGTCAATTTTTATTTGTTAAACAAGGAAGGCAAATGCTGGTGGCAAGTACAAACCCTGGTGAAACAAACATTATAGTTACTCTATAATTCAATCTATTTTCCTATCAGATCTTCTCTTTTAACAACATTAATCAATTTTTCTCTTCTTTCTTGAGCTAACAAATCAAACCTCCCATTGTTATTTAAAATTGATGGAAACCTATGGAAGGATATTGTATCCCATGCGCTATACTGCCAGAATTAACAACTAAACAAACTCTAGGCATGTCCAAGAAACTTCTGGACCACACAGAAGGTATAATTGAAAAAATCTAACTGAAAACCTAAAAAACCACTGTAAATATATCTTTGTTTTACCTCAAGGCGCCTGTCAATAGTGTCAAACTGTCAGATCGTGTACTTGCCCTATTGAAATGAGAAAAAATATACCTGGCGTCTCATTTAAAATAAGAAAGTTCTGGTCACTTCCGGTCAAAACGGAAGTGATAATAAATAATTGAATACGCCAAATAATGCAACTTCGGGTCATAAATAAACACACCAAATTTCATTTGTTTATTTGGAAAAATAAAAAAGTTATAGGGGTGAGCGGGTTTTGAAAAACATCCGGTATATATGAGGGGTTGAAAGTAAAAGTGGTGTAAGTCAATCTATTATCAATTTTTGTGTAATTATTTCAGCAATAGGATAAAATAACTATACCAATCAAAATAAAGAGTATAATACAAGTTATAAACATTGAAAAAACAAACAAATAAATGTTTGTATTGCAACATTTTTTATAAAACTGAAAATAACCTTTGAAGCCTAATTACAGAAAACAATAAATTTTAACTTACGCCACTTTTGCTCTGAACCACTCATATATCTGGGTCATGTCATTAAAATGAGAAAGGAAAACCAAACGGCGGAGATAAAACGAAGAATAAAACTGAGATGGATAGCATTTGGAAAAATGATTCACATAATGACAAATCCTGACATCCCTATAAACCTTAAACGAAAAGTCTTTAACACATGCATCCTGTCTGTCGCATATGGTCTTGACTCTTGAGGCAAAGGCTTTAACCCGGAAGTACACCAACAAGCTTAGGACAATGCAAAGGGTCATGGAACGGGCAATCGTTTGCGTTAGTTTACCAGATAAAATCCGTAACGAAAAAATAAGAAGAACGAAGGTAGTGGACATAATACAGCGAATTTCTGAGCTTGAGTGGCAATGGGTTGGGCATGTTGCCAGACTGGGTGTGGACAGATGGGTAACAAAACTTGTACAGGGTTATTGGTTATAAATGTCACCCCCCTCTATCTTTTTTATTTGACATTTTAGAAAAAAGTGTCCGAAATAAAAGTTTTATGGTTGAAATTGAATTTTTTGAAAAACTCACTTTCGCATATACAGGGTGTTTCAGAAATGCTGCTCCAACTTTCTTATTTTAAATAGAATACCCTGTATATTATTGAATAGTTATATTCAATAATATACAGGGTATTCCATTCAAAATAAGAAAGTTGGAGCACGACCAGCTTTTCTAAAACACATATTATGCGAAAGTGAGTTTTTCATAAAATTTAATTTTAACCATAAAACTTTTATTTGGGACACTTTTTTCTAAAATGTCAAATAAAAAAGATAGAGGAGGGTGATATTTATAACCAATAACCCTGTACTCTGGAGAACACGTCAAACAAAGAGGAGCGTCGGCAGGCCACAGAAGAGATGGTTGGATGATATTAAAAGAATAGCAGGAGGAAGTTGGTACCATACAGTGAAAGACAGAACAGCATGGAAACAAATGAAAGAGGTCTTTGTTCAGGAGTGGACAGGAAATGGCTGAAAAAGATTAGGAGGACGGGTTAGTTTCAATTCAACCCTTGGATTAGCTCTTTTCGTTTACAATTTCACCATACAAAGACTAGCATACATTACGAAGACGGGTTAGTTTGGGTTAGCTCTTTTCGTCTAAATTACCAACATACAAAAAATAGTATTCATGACGAGGACGGCTTAATATGAAATAGCTCTTTTCTTCTAAAATACCAACATACAAAGACTAGCACTTGCCACTTTGTATGAGGACGGGTTACTTTGGAATAGCTCTTTTCGTCTAAAATATCAACATACAAAAACTAGCACTTAGTATGAGGACAGGTTAGCTCGGATAAGCTCTTCTCATCCAAAATACCAACATACAAAGACTAGCATTCATTACAAAAGTACAGGTTAGTTTGTGTTTAATTGTCTTTGAAACTTGTGGACTGTATATTTTTCTTTTTGTTCAACTCAAATTCGCTAAATTCTGAGAGGAAAACAGACAACATTTTGAAACATTTCATTAACTTATTGAGTAACAACTCATCAACTAAAAACCTAAAAACTAACTGGTGCTAAAAGATACATTGTTTTCAAAAGCAACTTGAATCAAACACAAATGTCGGGCTTTAACAGTTTGAGTTAGTTTGAATCGGACCTTTTAGTCAAAAATACCAACATACAGAGACAAGCACTCATTACGATTCATTTCGCAACGGTGTCTCGAGCTCGCCGTATTCTTACGACTACAGACTCTTGTAATCCTACCAGTGTGTATCTCAAAAATATTAGGTGTTACTGGGGTGATTGAAGCAGTTTAAGGCAGGACCATAACAACGCAAGCAGGAATATTTTGGAGTGATCCTACTTCCAATGTGTTGCCAAGCCAAGGGTAAAGTTACCAACCATAATGGAAATCCCTATAAGTATCTCGACAGAGTGCGATTTGAGGCAGGACCATAGCAACACAAGTAGGAACATGTTTGAGCGATCCTGCTTCCAGTGAGTTGCCTAGGGTGAAGTTAGCAACCAAAATAAAAATCGCTGTATCTCGAAAATAGTATGTGTTGCCGGGGTCAAATTTGAAACAGGATGAGGCAGGACCATAGCAGCACAAGCAGGAATCTGTTTCAGCTATCCTGCTTGCCAAGGGTGAAGTTAGCAACCAAAATGGAAATCGATATATTTCGAAAACGATGGGTGTTGCTGGGTAATGTGACATTACCAAATTCAGTAATGTCAAGATTACATAATGGTTGATTACACAAAGCTAGTCTAGAATGTAAATCATTAAAAAAATATTACAAAAAGCAAAGTTTGCATGTAGGTAACACTGTAACAGTAAAAACCATGATTCTCAACATCTTCACTCAAAATTTTCTACAAAAAAAGACACTTACCCAATTCTAGCGCATAGACTTTTACTAAGTTCATATTTGGCCCTAACAATCCGATTTCTGTCATCCATAAGCTTCTGATGACATATCTTGATCAACTCTAACTGTTTCATATGCGTCTCACACAAATCTGGCAGAATAGATGTGTCTTTCATATGGGATGCACTGTTCTGGTTCTGTAAAAAACTCTGCGCCATATCAGATTGGTGTTCAACATATTTCTTGATTTTTCTTATTAGTTCCTGCAAGTCGAACAATCGTTTCCCTAAACCCTCGATTTCTTTACGTTCAGGTTTTTCTGCGGTTTGTAACGTATCAAAAATTTGTTGTTCTAGTGATGGCATGATTCCTTTTTCGAATTTATTCAAATTGGATTTGCAGAGTTCATAAAGTTCGTCTAGAGAATTTTTCCTGTCCACCGATGAGATCCATTCATATAAACTAATATCTTTACTAGCCTCAGTTTCTGACGTGCTAGTTGCGTTTTCTGAAAATCTAGAACCTTCTAGTAGTTCTTTTTGGGAGTCTAATAAAGCATCTAATACAGGTATTCTTTGTAAAGTCTTCTTGTCTTCAGCAAAACTAAACAAATAAGAAATATACTTATTATGCATGCGCGGCTAAAGAAAATGTTATAGATACCTACCTTAACAGAAAATTATCATAAGCATCCCGATCTGCAATAAAGTCCTCATACATTTTTAGGAATAGCTCCCATCTTTTCCTAAATTCGGTAACTATATCTTCTAAATTAGCTATAACTGCTGACCAACCTTAAATTTAAATTTAATTAACAATTTCTAGTCAACTTTGGAGGAAAATAAATACCTTGCTGTTGTAAATGCTGATCATGCACCATACTCTCGCAAAATTCCAATTGTTCCTTAGCTACACTAAAAAAATCTTGAGCGACAAGAGTTCTGCTTCTTACAGTGGACAATGATACAGGTAGAGATAAGCAGTCTAACAGTCTCTCTTTTAAATCTTGATTATTGAAAAAAACAATACATACAAAACATTTGTGATGTTAGAATATAGGCTTACCAGTATCGTCATAGTTAAGACTTTTCAACGTATCTAATTTTGAAATGTCATAATTTGTGGAGAACAAATAAATGGGATTAGTGTCGGTACCGGCCATATACGAGCAGAGATTTTTATGTGTGTCCAAAGCTTCACCGCCATTAATGAGCAGCACTTGTTGTTCCAGCGGGATTTTGCATTTTTCATTAATTTTTTCTTTCAGATCTCCAACACTGAAATTAATAATCATTATTTTCATTGATTTTCACAACCATGAAGTGTGTATTATATTTCTTGTAAATACTTTTGAGTGGTTGTTGAAATATTATTATTTGCAATTGAAGCTTAAACTTGGTAAACATATTTCAGGGTTAACAAACAAGGTTTTTCAGATAGAGTTTTTTATACTCTCTAAAAGGTAAATAATAAATCAAATCGATGTAGGTTTTCAAGTTTTCAAAAGTCAAGCACTGTCCATTCAAACTCAGCAGAATAAGAGATGGAAAATGGCAACAAAAAAAGGGATGTTTCATTTGGAACGTTTTTGTCCAGAAATCAGATATTTACTTCAGCAATGATTTCTTGTACCGCAAACTGGCATAGATACAACGGACTAAACTGAGACATAGTGCAAAAGTATTCATTCAAACATTTAGGACTGAATTATTATTTTGTGACAAAACACCCATGTGTCTATAGAAATATTTTCAAGTGAAGGTAAGGTCCGTTTCACCAGGGTTCATACTTGACCTTGAAACTTGAAAAAAAAAGGGTTGTCGTAGATTAATTCATATGACACATTCAATTTTTTTAATTATTTTATTTTTCACTAAAATGAACTGATAATTTGGTAGTTCCTAAGTACATAATAATATACTCACCTCTGCATTATGGAGATCTCATTGTCAAACGTCATCATGTCCCCAGGTTGGACAAAAAATATGTAGACCATTTTGTTGTGATCGAATGTTGTGCTCAAAAAAACCCTAATACTCTAAATTTATCTGGAAAAGATAATAAAATTAGTATTAATAAAAGGTATGTTACTTTTATATGTTATTTGATAAATGATTTGTGGGTGAAATTATAGCTTGCACACTATAAGTACCCTGACATGGTAATAGTTGTCAGTGACTCATCAACCATGCCGCTAAATCGCTATTTCTAGCGGCATGAGTCAGTACTGTTGTTAACTTGGTCGCTACGTTAAATTAGGAAAAAACTCGAACCTGAGCCAAAGATTAATAAACAGGGCGCGCCACGATAATTTCCCCCCAGGTTTTTTTTTTGTAACTTCACCCACAAACTGAGATAGGTACCCCCAAAACTTTAAATGAAAACTGAAAAGGTGAGTCGATGGTTGATTCAATAGTATATTACGTAACGGGTCTGGAAAGTAATGGTTTTTTTTGTGGATGTGTGGACAAGATTCTAGGAAGTCTGTGAGTTAGAAAAAACACTTTCCAGGCGCTATTCGACAACCATTTGATATAAAAAATAATGAATTTGTGGTTTTACTTCATTAACAATCATGAACCACTATTTTTGTCTTCATAGGAGTAAGAAAAACAAATATGTATTGTCGAGTGTATTGTCATCTAAAAGTTGAATCAAACTCAAACTAAACCATATCCGGTCCGTTCGAGCCGACTCTTTGGATACATTATACAAGCTCTTTTTTATGGATAATCTAAGGCCGGGATAACCCAATTCCTTAATCCTTAATTTTTGTTCTTAATTCTTAGGCCGGAGTTACCCAATTCCTTAATTCCTAATATTTGTCCTTAATTCTTAATTCCTAAAAAGTTCAATTTATTTAACATTGGTGTTTTTAAGGATTAAGAATTAAGAACAAAAATTAAGAATTAAGGAATTGGATAACCCCGGCCTTAATCTTCAAAAACACCAATGTTAATTAAATTGAACTTTTTAAGAATTAACGGTTAAGGACAAATATTAAGAATTAAGGAATTGGGTAACTCTGGCCTAAGCTACACCATTCAGGCCTTGTAGACCCAAAATTTGAATTGCAATTAAGTATTGATGGCCTTCATCTGCGTGCACTTTGAATGCAAAGCTCGGCCAAGTCCAAGAACAGTCTATTTTTAAATCTACAAGGTGTAACAGAATAACACTGACAAACGTTTAGGGGTGGTAGGGTAGGTCAACGCAAGTAATTTGACATAGGGAACATGGGGTCGCAAATGCACTCCTAAGGAGATACGAACTTTTTAAGTCTGACGCCAGCCGGATGAACCGTATCTGGAGATTAAATGCTTGTGGACGCTAAAGGTATAAGAAAAGGCGTTTATCAATAAAAAAATGCGATATGGCTTATGCATTATTTCCTTATCGTTTAGCACAGCTTTTATTCCCTTATCAGTAGGTAAAATGTTAATTAGTATAGTAGCTTTATCAGAAGATTTTTTTGGTGCTGTTTAGACTTGTTTCAAGTTGTTAACAACGTGTTCACCTATTATTAATTGAGTCTGGTGTGCAATTTTGTACTTTGTATACCAAGCATCGTTTCTCTTTTAACGAGTTAGCGGACATGCGGCTCCTCTATGACGCCGCGAATAAAAATGGCCGAGAAGCTTGCCGTATTTATGAGCAAACTTTATCGGACAGACATACTCCACATCATAGTACTTTTGCGGCGCTGTACCGTCGGCGTCGTTTACGGGAAACTGGGTCACTTACTGTACGTAAGCCAGATAGTGGTGCTCCTCGCTCTAGAAGAACTGATAATTTTGAGGAAGAAGTGCTCCATCAAGTAACAGCCAATCCTTCCATCAGCACATGAGTCGTTGCTCATGCTCTGAATTGCGATCACATCACCGTTCATTGCATCATAAAGGAGCAGATGATTATCCTTTTAGGGTACAGTTTGCCCAATGATCCTTGCACAAGTGCACTCAGAGCCCACGATTTGCAAAGATTGTGTTATGGACGGATGAATCTTGCTTTACTAGGAATGGTATGTTCAACAGTCGAAATAGCCACATTTATGCTGAAGAACCCACACGCAATGCATGTGTATCATTTCCAACACCAATTTGCCGTTAACATATGGGCTGGCATAGTAAATAACTGCATAATTGGACCATATTTGTTGCCCCTACGCTTAAACGCTTATGTTTATCTTAGATACTTGCAACACGTCGTACCAGAGCTGCTAGAAAAAGTACCACTTGACGTACGTCGGGATATGTGGTACCAGCCCATTTTGGACTAGATTCCGGGCGTATCTTGACTTGATCTTTCCGCGACGATGGATGGGGTGAGGAGGCCCTATACACTGGCCCGCTCGATCGCCAGATATTTCTCCACTAGATTTTTGCTTGTTAGTTTACGAAACTCCTGTAAATTCGCGAGAGGAATTACTTGGCAGAATCATGGCTGCCTTTGAGCTAATTGACAACAGGGTGGAAATTCTGGGAGGAGTAAGGAGATTGATCCAAAATTGTTTCCATATCTGCATAGAGAAAGGTGGTCGTCACGTCGAGCATTTTCTGTAAATCTCTTACAATAAACAAGATTTTTGTTTTCGTTTTAGTTTCATAAGCATCTACAAGCATTTAATCTCGAAATACGGTTCATCCAGTTGGCGTAAGACTTAAAAGTTCGTATCTCCTTAGGGGTGCATCAGCGACCCCCTCGGCGACCCCATGTTCCCGTTCCCTATGTCAAATTACTTGCATTGACCTACCCTACCACCCCTAAACGTGTGTCGGTGTTATTCTGTTCCACCCTGTATATCCCCATCTCTGTAATGGAAATTCCCAACTTCCATCACATAAAAACCTACTATAATAAAAATATTCATCTATTAACGTTACTTCAAATTGAATGTTGATCATTTCAAATACCTATCAATCAATGATGTGCCATCCGCATATTTGAATCTTTCAGATGTTTTTTGTCAAATTTTAAAGAAATATTACCATTTATCGATTTGGATTGACTAGACTAGAATATATTGTAACGGCCAGTGTGTCAAGAATCCTGTACAGAATTGCATAGCGGATTCGAGATTTTACGTTGATGTTCCGGAAGAAGGTCGATCGCGGTTCTTCTGGAATTTACAGGAATAAATTACGGCTATATATAAGGACGGGTTTTAGCTTGTAAGTAGAGTTTAAGTTTGACTGTGATACGATTTAAATAGTGATTATTGTTGCGAGTTGTAAGAGTTTATTTGTTGAGTTAGTTATTAAAGTAATTAGTGTCAGAGTGTATTGTTAAGTGGAATAAATTATTGCTGTGTTAATTGGACTTTGATTTTTGGAATAAACGAAACAAACCCAAGATTTCTGTCCGGCAATCCAAAGCCGTGACAATTGGTGTCAGAAGTGGATATAAAGGACTGCAGAGTGAAATCCAATTGCGGAAGTGCGGGGACAATAGTGTAGTGTAAAATCTGAACACTAAGTGAACACTGGGACAATTAGTCTGTGCAAACAGTGACAATCACAAAAAGAGACTTAACCGATCGTGTGAATTACCCCGGAAGTGACTCTATACCCAATTTTGACTGTGATAGTGAATCTTCGAGTGAGTTTTAGAAAATTCTATTTGGAAACTAAGGGAGATATCGAATTTGTGACTTGGCCGACATATTCGGAACATCAATCGTCATTCAGAAAAAGTTTTTCGAGGAGTTTCGGGAAAATTCTAGAACATTCTATTTGGAAACCAAGGGGGATATCGAAATTGTGACTTCACTGGCGTGTCTGGTGTATCAATCGACATCTAGAAAAGAAATTTCAACAAAAATTCCAGAACATTCTATTCTAGAATAAAGCAAGTTATCCAATTTGTGACTTCACCAGCGTGTTTGGAACTTCGAGCAAAGACCGGAAAAGATATTTGAAGAAAGTTCGAGGGAAATTCTAGAACGTTCTGTATATGCCTATCACAAGACAACAAGCAAAAATGGACGAACAAAAAGTTGAAGAACTTCTGCGCAAAATGTTGGAACTTCAAGAGACCAAACGAAAACAAGAAAAACAAGACGAAGAAGCCAGACGACAACAGGAAAAACAAGACGAAGAAGCCAGACGACAACAAAAAAAAAAGACCAAAAAGCCAGACGACAACAAGAAAAACAAGACGAAGAAGCCAGACGACAACAAGAAAAACAAGACGAGGAAGTTAAACGACAACAAGAGAAACAAGATGAAGAGGCCAGACGACAAAAAGAAAAACAAGAAGAAGAAGCTAGACGACAACAAGAAGAGGCTAAACGACAACAAGAAAAACAAGACGAAGAGGCCAGACGACAAAAAGAAAAACAAGACGAAGAACTCAGGCGACAAAAAGAAAAACAAGAAGAAGAAGCTAGATGACAACAAGAAGAAGCTAGGCGACAACAAGAACGTCAAGAAGACCTTGGGAAACTGCAGAAGATATTCCAAACCATTCAAGGAACTGTCGCTAACCTAGACCAGAAGATTGAAAAAGTTAAAGACGATGGGCAAGAAATTAAACACGACGTCCAGGAAGTAAAAACTGAAGTCAAAATCGACGTTCAAGAAGTTAAAAACGATGTTAGAGAAGATACACACGACGTTCAGGGAGTATAAAAGCTGAGGTAAAAGCCGATGTCCAGCAATTAAGACAAGAAGTTGAGAACCAAGTTCAAGCACACGAAGATAAGATGCGTAGATTAGAAATAAAGTCCATCAATCCAGCTAGTGTTGGAGCATTCTCCAGTATGAAGATAAAACCACCAACTTTTGACGGTTCTACGTCCTGGGGTCCTATTTTCGAAAATTTTCGCTTACGAAATTTGATACCATTTCGAATGCTTCCCATTTAATTTACATTGCTGTCAGTCAAGTTTCGCGTACGAAATGTACTCGAATGGTTTCGAAAATTGCGCCCCTGGACCATGTATATTCGACAATTTGAAGCTGCTGCAAATATCAACGGATGGAACGATCAAGAAAAAGCTACAGCACTGATAGTGGCGCTACGAGGACCAGCCTTAAATCTTCTCCAG